TGCGTTTCTATCAGTCTTCCTACCATTATGACCAAGTTGCGAAAACAAGGTCAAACAACTTCTATTTTTGTTGTGTGTTTGTCGATGAGGTAAATAAGTGTTTGCCATTGCAACCGACGACGTTACATATTTTCGAAGTAAGTGTGTTTTGAAATTATCAGTAATTCCTGAATAAGAATTTATTCGATTCCCAGTCCAGTATGCCTGTACCCTCCTCTCTTCTCCACTCCATGTGCTCTCTTATTCTTGTACCCTCACTCCTACACGAGCATTGCTTTGTCTCATCCAAATTGCTTCACGACTAGTCACTCGCTCACCATTAGAAAGTTTGGAGGCAGTTAGTTAAGTGTGACAACAATATCATCATCTTCATCATCATCATTATCATGCAAGAACAGCCTCGATCCCCCCTCCTTTCAAAATCAGAATAGTGTTTCTGACCTTGAATAAGTAGGGATTAGTTGAATCGGCATTGATATCCCCTAAGTTATTCGTGTCAACTTTGCGAACTTGCTAATAAAGAGATAAAAAATACAGAGAAAGCAGGAGCAAACCTGAAAAGTAAGCAGTTGCGTCAATTGGCTCTGAGCAGAAAGGCAGGGCTGATTTGCTTTCGCGGTTGCATCACTGCTTGGGGCAGTTAAGGGAAGCAACGTGAGTGCAAGCCGGACCCCAGCTGAAAGCGTTGGCCATTCTGGAAGACATGCAGCTGTGAAAGCAAGCGTTAAGCCGAAGGACCAGCAGTTTAGACGACCTCCAAGATGAGTCTGTACGTGTGGCAGAAGGCCACCGATGCGAATAGGCACTCGGGCTGAACATGCCGTCTCATGGGGTCTCCAAAGGAGAGCATTTGTCAGCAGCGTTGAAGCCGACTCGAGCTCTTCTGTCAACTTCTGGACACCTCGTGAGAGCAGAAGATCTGGCGAGAGGTGAGAGAAGTCGTGGCAGCCGGCACCCTCCAGGGTCTTAGCGACTGATGAGCCAACCACAAGCTCAGTGAGCCTGTGATGCATAGAGACGAGCATGGAGGCGAAAAGGCTGATGGCCGAGTGAAAGCAGGCCTGCGCCTCGGTCGACAGATATTCTAAACCTGTATCTTCGCCATTGTCGTGGCTAGAACAGCGATTGATGCTGTCACCCAGCCGATAATTGCTGGCGACAGCCTTGCAGCAATCAAGACTCAGGGCATTGGAGGCGAGGCCGTCAACAACAGTCCAAACGATGGAGAAAAACCCGACCGAGTGGGGACAGAGGGTCACCATTTGTGCAGTGAAATGAGCCAAGCGTTCAAGCAGTCCGAGTGGAGAGGCAATGCTGTTTTCGGCCGCAAGTAGCATCGCAGGGTGATGGCTGGCGAAAGGAGAGGCGGCAGACAACAGCGAACAATCAGGCGAGGCCTGGCTCGGCATACAGTCAAGGAGGATGCGAAGCAGCTTGCCCAACTTGAAGAAAAGAAAAAATCGCCCAAAGCCTCATGTTACGTCGACTGATGGAAAAGTTACGTAAATTGTGCATAAAGGTGATACTGGAATATGTCTTATTAGTTATTTCTCAGGCGGGATACGCCTACTATAAGGCTACAAGCATAAACACTTTAAACTTTACTCATTGGTGTTTACGAGGCAAATGCGGGTTATGAAAAATCTTTAGAGATGATGTTGTTGCGAAGACTTAAATTTTGTATGGAAGCTCATTTCGAAGAGATGCGTAGGCTAATTGCACCGGAAGACGTCGGCTGATTAGCGTTGTATTACAGCCATTTAGCCTTAATACGACGTTCAAGTTGATGCAATCCACGAAACATCCTCCAACGTTTTGGGAGAAAACGGACTGAGCTTTCGTTCGACATGTAGCAAAAATAGTCAGAGCTGGGACTCATTCTCACGAAAGCCTCAAGTTACCACTATGTCAAGAAGATTGATCACCTTTTTTCTATATCATATATTAGCCCGTTGAGAGAAAGATTTTAGATATAGATGGATTTATAAAGATTTGTTTAATTCACTTATACTAGCGCAAT